CAACTATACTTGTAACTGCACGTGCTCTTTGGTAGAGGAAACTCACACAATTTCACTTCTTAAGGTGAGTCGTCCCAGTCTGGAGAAAAAGACATTCGGCGGACCAGTCAAGATTGTAAAAGAAAAAGACGAAAATGTAGGTTTAAAGGCGGAAATAAAGCGTCTGAGGAAGATCGTGGAGCAACAGCGAGAATTTATTAGACAGACGAATGTCATCATTGAAAACTTAGAGGCTGATAAGAAGAGATTGTTGGCTGAGAACGATTTAGAAGCAGCAGAAAAAGAGGTGAGACGAAACTCTGAGTGTCAGTGTTGTTTTTGAATTGCTGGGGGTGAGTAGTCTCATAGTAAGGTACGACACTAACCCTCCATGCAGCTATTCAAAAACAGCACAGACACTCAAGCGAAGGTCAGATTGAACCCCCACTCATTGAGTGTGAGTGAGCTTTTACAATACAGGCGTTAGAATTTATCGGTGCATAATTCCTACTAAACAGGTGTTAGAATTTACCTATGCAAAATTCCCATCTAATACAAGATAGTGAACAATATGAACGTTTTTAAATATGATTTTGTCGCGCTCAAATGTTTAGCCGAGTGGGTGTTTTTCTTACTGGAAAATTCAGAGTGTTTTTACTAATGTTACACACACAAACCTCGACAGAGAATTGTGAATAAAATATATGACAACAGTATTTTGTACAGCGTGTTTCAGTTTGGTCATCAAAAGACGCTTAATCTGAAATTCAGGCCCTACCGCCCTAATTTAGAAATGAATAGAAGGGCAACTTGAGTAGGAACCTTTGAAGTTTTATGAGCCACGCATGTCAAGCAGGAATCCAACCAGCACCCTTACTCTTGTATACATACATGAACTTGTCGTTAGAGCTTGACACCTGGATTTTGTTGTAGCTTAGTTAGAGCACTGGACCGGAACCGCAAAGTCGCAGGTTTAATTCCTGCTAGATGGCCTATAGATGCTTTTAAGAACTTGGGACTTAGTCTCCCGGGGTATAATTAGCCGTGCGGAATTAGTACCCTCGCTCGGGGATAAAGGTTATTTGCTTTAAAATTGATAAATTGTGGTTTTATTTCTAGCAACAACTGGCAACAAGGGAAGAAACCTCAGAGTACGAAAGGTCATTTGACGAAGAATCGGTAAGTGTTTTGACGACAGTGAAAAACAGCTGTGTGCTGATAAGCAACGTGCCGTAGTTGACATAAGATCAATTCCGTTTGCTATACTGTTACATTTTGCCATAAGGTGGCTAAGGGTTTAGAAATTATATATATACATAATTAATTAAAGTTCTCCGGATTGAAGTATATTTCAATCCGGAGAGCTTTAATTAATTATAATATGCCTGGATTACAAATCTTTAAACATATATATATATATATATATATATATATATATATATATATATATATATATATATATATATATATATATATATATATATATATATATATATACTTTATTAACGCGACATAAATTAACGCAAGATCAAATTAACGCGGATTGCTTCTAGGTCTTTTAAAACTTGATTATATTGACGCGAATCTGATCATCATGGTTGACAAATTAATTAAATTAACGCGAATCGGATAGTGAACTGAGTTGGGAGGAGCACTGATGTTTTAGTTTACGTTAATATGCTGCATTTTGATATTAGAAGAGTTAGTGTTACAGTAAAACAGATCAAGGTATTTTTAGCTAACGGTAAATGAAAATTACATACTTAAAATCAACGATGGCATAAATTAACATTAATTAAATTAACACAAATTTTTAAAATCCGCGTTAGTAAAGTGCATCGTTAATTTCCTATAATAAGGTATATATATATTTTTAGATACAGTTGTCAGATGTTGTCAAGTCGCCGGATGGTCGACGTCTGTTGTCTGCAGATGGTCTCTTTGATGAGCAGGTAAGCGTGCACGTGTCCGTGTTTGAAGATTTATAAAGAATTACCTCATTTGCAAAAAGAATTGAATTACTGAGATATCACAAAGATTGCAAAATATCAATAAAATATATGTGGCACGCATGCTAGGATTACGTAAATTATATTTATGGTCCTGGGGTCAAGTATCAGGTGGTTTAGTTTTTGGTTCTTACTGACCATTTTCTACATTGGAATTAGGAATAAACTATGCCCTCCCCCTCCTTATATGCATTACATTTTCAGTAGAAAATAGTAAACCTGGATTACTTCATGAGTTTTTTTTTTAATTCCCTGCCATATAGTCTATTTAGCTAATTTGTTAAATTATTATTTTGTAATAACTGTTAAAACTGTCTGGCAAAGTTAATAAATTAAATTAGAAATTTGTTTTGTTATATACATATTATCATAATATTTTAACAGGGACTCGCAAAGCGATTTTCAGTAGTGTCCCGATATTTATTTATTTATTTAACTTTGCCAATAAACATTAAAACACAGAAAAAACATATATGGACAATGGCAGGGAACACGCTACAGCTTACGCCAATTACAGCGGCCCTTACATATAAGATACGACATCACAAACATTAAACTAT